AGTGGAAGTGTTTTGTCCATAACAACATCAGGGGGCTACATCATGGTGGAAAAGACGGATAGAAAGTTATGGGTCCTGACAGCTGGGATGTGCAGCGATTCATCCATCCATCCATCTGTTTTCTGTCTGTCTTTAGTTCAATCTACACCGAAAAAAATGTTTCATTCATCCAATTAAAAAAAATGAGGGCAAGTTATTTATTTTTCATTGGCTCAAGTTAAAAAATATAGAGGTGAATCATTACCCTACATTTTTTTAATTGGATGAATGAAACATTTTTTTCAGTGTGTCATTCATTCTATCTGTCCGTCATTCTAGCTATCATTCTATTTTTCTGCCTATCTATGTGTCTGTGAATAGTTCAATCTATCATTCATTCCATCATTCTGTCTGTCTATCTAGCTATCTGTCTATCATTCTGTCTATCTCTTGTTCATTCTGTCTGTCTATAGTTCAATCTATTGTTCATTCTAGCTGTCCGTTCTATCTATCATCTATCTATCTATCTATCCTCTCATCTTGTCATTGTTACTGATCTTCTGGTCTGTTGGTTCTGACTGTCTCCTTTATAATTGATTATGAGTAGATTTGCTTTACCTTAACTCACTTTATCTGTCTTTCTCTGTTTACTTTTCACTCTTGTTCACTGGTCTCCTCCAGAGCTGCACCGCTCTGCATGGCTCTATCCATCTCTCCAGAGTGGGTTAGGTTGATTGAGGAAATGGCCCTAAGGCCCAAAGGCTCTGCTGTACTTACAGAGAGAGAGCCCAGCAATTAAAAGACACACGATCACACACACATGCACGGGGTGCAATTAATGCATTCTGAGATCCGAAAAAAAAAATCAGATGCAAATAGAACAAGGACTGGGACATTCTGTTTTAATGCGATTAACCCCATCACAAATATTGTGATTCTATTGCGTCAATGGTTTAGGACTGTTGTAAATAAGTTCATTGAATGAAGCCGATGCTCAACTCAATTTCACTGATATTGAGCTAAATTAAATAGAACTAAATTGAATAGAGAGAGATGGGGGAGTGAGAGAGAGCACATGCACTGCAGATAGACAGGGTCTCATTCACTAATAACTGCACATGTGCACAGTGAAGGTTCTCACACAGAATTTCTGCAAGATTTACAACATGATTTTGGCCACAATTTTGCTGTTTGAGACTTTTTGCTGTTTGAGAAATCATAAAAGATTTCTTTTGTCATATGGAAAAGTCATCAGACTTGGAACTTTTAGTGTGACATGCTCAGCATGCATGCATTTTAAAAATAGACTTTTATTTCTGAAATGTTGGAAACTGTTTACAGGAGTAATATTACATCACCGCTTCACTACAGTGAGAACACAAATCATGTAAACCTTTATTAGCCATTATTATGGCAGCAACAGCAACTAGTCAACTAAATACCTGCGTTAACTTGTTTCTGCAAATGGCTGCTAATTTTAAAAATGACATCCATCATTTAGAGAGATAAATTGCAAGAAATATCTATTGAATAGGGTATTTAAATAAATGTTAAACATGTGACTGACAATGTGAGAAGTGCATTTCCACAAAACTTGCTCCTCCACCATGAATAAATCAGCATCTAAATACACAGCCATGCAAATTTATTTTTACAGCCTTCCCCATGAGAGACAATTACCATTCCCAATAGGGCTTTTGTGATGAATTTTTGAAAGTCTGTTAGCATTTTAAGCAAGGTACATACTGGACAATTTTCAGGGATTTTACCATACAACCATCTTTCACGATTCCCAAAATTTGTGTCAGATGGCAACATCTCACAGTGTGAATGCAGCTTTACGCAAAGTCTCATTGGGGTCATATTGTACAATCTGACAAGAGGCAATTGTAGCAGGAAAAAAAAAACTGCACAGCAGGCACTAGGTTTTACTCTTGTTCTACAATGAATTGATGAATCTGGATTGTTGTAAATGAGGGGAGCAGTGACCGCAGTTAGCAATTAGCATACAAAACTAAACCATCTCCATATGCCGTAAGGGCTTCTACACAATCTCTCCTTTACAGCCATTTATCATTCTTTGCAAACATATCCTTACTCTCACTAGAGACGATAGCTTGAGCAGCAAGCGTGCCATTCTCAAAAACAGTCGGAACACAATAAACATCTTTTATACAAGCCTACAGTGCACATGATCACCTGCATGTTTGCATACTCTTGTCTATATGTTTGATACAGATGATTGTTTGATTGCTGGTTGGCCTTATGCACCGTGTTGAGTTTTGTCACTGAGCGCTGTGGCTCCATTTATAGCTTTGTCTCAAAAACAAAGTCATTATGCTATAATATTGTGTGTTTATGCGGTCTCTAACATTACAGGGCGATTGTTTTCAGGCACATCATTCAAAATGTTAGTGCAAACTGGGTTATGTGTCATTTCTAGTTTGTCATTTTGAATTCACTGAAAACACACACACCATCAACATAATCAAAATGATGCCAAAGTGCAAATATACAGGAAGCTAGAATACAAAATAAACATATTTATGAATCTAATGAATATGATTTTAATATTAAAGATGTCCGAATTCTTTTCTTCTATTGGCACATGCTTGTTTGAGGTTAATCTTAAATTCAGCATCTCTTGGAAGCCTCTTACAATGCAATACAATGCCTATTCATTTGCATAATTGCACCAAGCAGCATGATAACTAAATGTTTTTATCATTTTATAGGAATGATGCTGCCACACTCACACACACATCACATGCACGTTGTCTTTCCTTAGCATTTGTTGTCACGGTTGTTCATTTGTGTCAATCTGTTCAGCTGTGCACACCTTATAAACTTCAGTATTTAAGTTCATGCCTTTCACCCCTTTGTTGTCGGGTATTGTTTGTTACTATGCTTTGGTTGGATGCTGTTCTCTCTGCTTGAATCATATTGTGGATTTAATAAAGACTGTTTGGAATTATCTTCGTCGTCCTGCTTGTCTGATACAACCTTAGTATCATGACAGAATACCCAACCACTAAATTGATAGAAGCGGCGTAATTTTAATTTTTGTGAGAATACGTGTATTTTTTGTTTGTTTAGTTTTCCGTCACCAGTTAGACTGTTGTGCTGTTGTGCCTTGAGCAGGGGGACCGCTCCCTCGAGGAACATGTGTAAGAGTTCCTTAACCTCTCTTATTTAACATCATACCCGGATGACTGCCTCTTCACATTTCTTCGCATTGGCCTGAACAGAGCGTAGTTGTCCATGGAAGCACCTCGAGGGAGCTTCATGGGTTATGAGGAGTGGGTGCTGCTTTCTTGCAAATCTCCACTTACTGTCGGACCTATCGATGACAATACCCGCCGCACTAACAACCCAATGCCCAGCCAACATCACCCAGACTGCGGGGATCGGCAGCCCGTGCCCACCACAGGCAGTGAGAGTGACTCTGCCACAACGCACGAGCTAGCGCTAACAAGAGTGACAGAGCTGAACATCGCCACGGAGCCTGAGTACCACGTGCCTGACCATGTGTATGAGCCAGCATCTTCATCCGTCGCTGAGGGAGTGAATGTGGAATTTGTGGGGATGGAAGTGAGCCCCGCCCAACCTCCCACCACTAAGAGTGAGTGTTTGGCCATCGCACTGGAAAGCTGTTTTGATTTTGGAGAGATTGATTTTCTATCCCCTTTGCTTCAACCTGAATCAATCCGTTATGTCCCAACCTTCCTCGCTCACCACCTCTCCAGAATTCTGTTGAAATTGAATTTTGTGTTGGATTTTGTACTGCTCTCCAAGCTCTTCTCCAGTCCCCAGTTACTCCCGCCACTCAGTCATCACTACCTCCCATCAGTCCCTCATTGCCTCCTCTCAGTGGTGGGTCAACACCTCAGGCCTGCTGGGAGCCATCTCTTCCTGGATGTTGGAAGCCTGTGGATCCGCCTTCTGCCTCTGCACGCTCCACTACTCCTCGACCTGTCGCCCTGACTCCTGTGCTCCATCCTCCCTCAATGTCAGTGACCATCGGACTTTCGGCCTCGCCGGGCTCCCTCGGACCATTGGCTCTGCCTGGGTCGGACATCGCCGTGCCTCCGGTGCAGACTGTAGCTCCGCCCTTCCTCAGGCTCTGCCTCCGCCCTCGGTCGCTCCAGCTCAACCTCAGTCCTCTGGACCCCTGCTGCCATCTCGGGGGGTCGTCGCTGCGGCTCTGTCGCAGCCGCCTAGGTCCTCGGAGTCCTGTCGCTGCACTGGCTCTTTGGCTGCGTGGTGGGCTTCCTCCATGTCATCATTGTCTCCGGTCATCCCCATGGTTGCATCTGTCTCTACACCTCCATGGCTCCTCCCTCCTGCAACGCCGCCGTGGGGCGCTGTCTCGGCTGTGGCCTGGATCATCATCCACCTGCCTCTACTCAAGGTCATTCCCTGGCTGTCCCATCCATCTGCACCTCCTTAGACCTTTTTGTTTGTCCCTCTCCCGGATTCCCGTCCTGTTCCAGAGCCTCCTCCATCCATCTGCCGGCGTGAGGCCATGCCTTCCGGGAGGGGGTGTACTGTCAAACTCACTCACACACATCACATGCACTTTGTTTTCAGTTTGCACCATCTTCCCTTAGCATTTGTTGTCATGGTTGTTAATTTGTGTCATTCTGTTCAGCTGTGCACACCTTATTAACTTCAGTATTTAAGTTCATGCCTTTCACCCCTTAGTTGTCAGACATTGTTTGTTACTACGCTTTGGTTGGATGCTGTTTGGAATTATCTTCATCTTCGTCGTCCTGCTTGTTTGATACAACCTTATTATCGTGACAGATATAAAAGCGTGATGCAACAAATCTCCTTCCCCACAGAGTGCTGGCGCTTTTGGATAGATAATTAATCTAATTTTAGGTCTTTGTGTGAATGTCAGCAGAAATTGTAGCGAGAAGCTGTCAGTTTGACTTAGCATATTTGGTAAAGGTTGCATAAGCCACATGCCTATTTCCTTATCTCTCTCTCTCTGTCTGTCTCTCTCTTTTTCCCTGCAGCGGTGGATGCAGTTCCCGTTCGGAAAGATGGGGAGCAGGTAAGGAAAACTACAGCGCTTTGCATATTTAAGATTTGCTTTGTGCCAAACCTTTGTCCCATGTTGTGAGCTTAAGCTCTAAGGATCACATCTAAATTATGTCCTTTGCTGAAATAAAACTTTTGCGATGTCTGCATTTCTGTCCGAAGCTATTATACTTAACGAGTGCTGACATTTGTGCCTCATGACACTTTAATGAAGTCTTTAGCTAACACGAAGACCCCTTGCGTGCCACACGCACGTCTTGCCACCCCGTAGCGCTGAAAGTCAGAGAAAGCTTGATGGTATAATGTGTATTTGAAAAGCCTCTATATTAGATTCTCAGCAAGGCCACGGGAGCCAGACCCCAGAGCCCAGCCATTACCGTACAGTCTTGCCGTAAAACGGGGTTGTCTCCTGGGAATACATAGCCTCATCCGTCTTCCCTGTTTGCTGTCTGTGTTCACGTCCCACCCAAGGGCAACAGCTCCTGGCTTGTCGCTCTACTCAGCCACAGATGAATTTGGCTCAAAATCTACCATTTGGTTACTGGTAGCTGTCCAAACCAAACGGCATTGTTTAATATCTCAATGCAGAGTTAAGAAGCCGAGCCAGGAGGTGGTGTCATCTCACTGTAGCTGGAGCCAACTGAAATAGTGTCTGTGTTGTGCATGTATGCATTCGTGTTAGAGAGCTGCACTCGAAAAGGCACTTACTGGTTGCTAAATTAAGAATAATAAAAATAAAAGAATTTGTAATAGAAGCTTCAACTCCAGAATCAGGTGCTAGTTGCTAAGTAGCAAGGCTATTTTAGTTATCTTATTGCTAGCTCAATCACCCTCAAACTTAAACTTCACATAATAAATGATTATAGATTAATTCGGAAGGCCCTAGATGGGACTAGTTTGTTTTTACAGACTTTGTATGAGTGTTTGCTTTTATAAAACATGTTTTTATTCTCACACAACCAAATATAATCAGCAAATAACCTAGCTGACCTCTAATAAAACCTATTCTAACAGGAATATACAGGATTGTGGTTTATTATTTACAGTGCTCTTTATTAATTTTGACCTTCATTTGATAACTATACGAACTCAGAATTTAGACCTTTCTGTGTGAAACAATTGCAACAATAACAAGTATTGCTGGCAACTCATCTGGTTTAAAATTAAATCAAAAAAGAAAGTTCAACCATGGACGGATAAAAGTGCTCATTATATTAACAGTGTCTCTAAATTTTTTAATTTTAATTATGTCACATATCGTTAACAGTTTAAGTATTACTGGCATCTCATCTGATTTAACAACTGAATAAACTCAATAGGTAAAGTTTGATCACAGGCTGATAAAAGTGCTCATGATATTATCAGGGTCTCTTAATTATTTGCATAAATTTTTAATCATATCACATTTATTGCTTTATTTCTATTAGTTTTGTGACACTTGAATTGTGAAATAACAGCTTAAGAATTGCTAGCATCTAATCTAATTTAAAAATTGAAAGTTTGATCATAGACTGATAAAAGTGCTCATTATAGTATCAGTGTCTTTAAATGATTTACATACATTTTTAATTCTATCACATATGTGACCCTGGACCACAAAACCAGTCATAAGGGTACATTTTTCGAAATTCAGATTTATACACCAACTAAAAGCTGAATAAATAAGCTTTCCATTGATGTATGGTTTGTTAAGACAGGACAATATTTGGCTGAGATACAACTATTTGAAAATCTGGAATCTGAGGGTGCAAAAAAATCAAAATACTGAGAAAATCGCCTTTAAAGTTGTCCAAATGAAGTTCTTAGCAATGCATATTACTAATCAAAAATTAAGTTTTAATATATTTACAGTAGGAAATTTACAAAATATCTTCATGGAACATGATCTTTACTATATCCTAGTAGATATATCTTTATTATATCTTTTAGATATATCCTAATGATTTTTGGCATAAAACAAAAATCAATAATTTTTAAATTTGGCTATAAAAATAAATTTGGCTATTGCTACAAATATACCCCAGTGACTTAAGACTGGTTTTGTGGTCCAGGGTCACATATAGCTGTGTTTCTATGGGTTTCATTACACTCGAATCCAGAGCACATAACCTTGCATAACTAAATCACAGCCGTCCTCTGTTAATAATTGTAACTTAAAAGTTGTTTTGAAAACAAATCCCATTCAAAGTTTTACACAGCATAAAGTGTGTGGCTAAACATTAATTACTTCATCACTGGGTAGAAAAGAAAACTAATTCTATGTTTTTAATTTGCACCTATCTGTTTTTGCCCCCCACAGAAAAGTTGTAGGTGGCTGCCGTAATTGCAAGCCAGCCTCAAAAATGTATTTTTAGGAGCCAGCTCCACGTTTATGTAACAGAAGCAGCCATAAACTCTAAGATGGTGGGAAACGAATCGATCAACCCCCGAACGGTCCAACCGTGCCTGTTGTCTGTCCGGAGTTTCTAAGGGGCAGACATTTGCCCCACGCCAACGCCTTTCTGATACTGACCTCCATTTGATCTTTCATATTGATCTTTCTCTTAATGAACAATGAGCGGCTACTGCTGTTCGTACTGGCACCAGTGTTTGTCTCGCTGCGCTGGGTGCGGTGTAAATGCGATCGATCGCACGCTGTGAGTATGTTTGGGTTGGCTAGGATTACTTACTCCAGTGCTACTCATCAAAGTCGCCTCCATCTCCTCTTGCTGCTGTCCTCATCCAGTGTAGAGACTTCTAAGGCAGACATCAACACAGATGCACTATAGGTGGTACTTCATTCATGAATATTTTACACCATATTAGCGACTTATCTGTATAACACAACAAGGGTGCATACAAAGATATATGGTTTACACAACAGTTCATAACAGATGAACAGCGTCTCGCCTCCTTCTCCTGCTTTCTGTTTATCTGTTGTTCTTCCAGATCTAGTGTTCTGTACTTGGCTTGATGTTTTGCCTTCTGTTGTTTCCTGCTAACTGAAATCATGCCTTTTCTTCTCTTTCACTGTATCTTTCCCATCTATTCTTCAACTGTTATCTGCTTTGCTTCAAGCATGGACGTGCCGAATTTTCCTGGGAAGGAATCAATGTAAGTCTGGTATTGACCTTTTGCCCTTCATACTTTCTGCCTCTCTTGTTTTTTTTATTATTTTTTTTATTATATGATATTACTCTCTGGGGGTATCCAGCATTTTTATTTATTTTTTTAACAAATGCTCAAAAAACATGGACATATTATGTCAGGTACACTACTGTTTAAAAGTTTGGAATAATTATGATTTTATAATGTTTTTGAAGAAATCTCTTATGCTCACCAAGGCTGCATTTATTTCATCAAAAATACGGTAAAAACAGTACTATTGTCGAATATGATTTCTGAAGGATCATGTGACGCTGAAAAAATGGAGTAATGACTTCTGAAAATGTAGCTTTGCCATCACAGGGATAAATTACATAAAAAAAAATTAAACAATTACAATTATTTTAAATTGTAATAATATTTCACCATTTGATTTTTTTTTTTTTAAATGCTGACTTGGTGAGCATAGAGACTTCTTTCAAAAACATTAAAACACATAATCCAAACTTTTGACCGGTAGTGTTCGATGGTGGTGTTGTGAAGGTAAATGTCATAATAGTATGATGGTAGAAAAATAATTTTACTGGAGGAGATGTTAATATACTTAAATGTTTGTATGAACATAAATCACAAACTCACCTTAAATGTCTGCCATGACTCCACAGTGTTTAGTAACTGGCAGGTGTCTTTTGGGGCCACGTCATGTTATCTGAGATTTGGCCCATTTTTGCGACTTGTAGGTGGCACTGGATGTGTGAGATGATAACACCGTGTGGTTCACATAGAATTAGTGACATCTGCTCTCATCTTTAAATGAAAAAGAAAAAAGTTAATACAACAAAAGTTTATGATTCTAACCAGTGATATTTTAAGTTAACTTTTATTTTCACATTTTTGAATTTTTATTGTAATTTTAGTTTGTTTTAGTAATTTTATGTGCTTTTGTCATTTTTATTAGGTTTTGTTTTTAGAATATTTCTATTTAGCTTTAACTTATTTTTATTCTTTAACATTTTTAATTCATGTTTTTTTTTTTACTATTAAATTATTTATTAATATGCTGAATTAACTTTTATTTTCACATTTTTTAATTTTTATTGTAATTTTAGTTTAAGTTTTAGTAATTTTATGTGCTTTTGTCATTTTTATTAGGTTTTGTTTTTAGAATATTTCTATTTAGCTTTAACTTATTTTTATTCTTTAACATTTTAATTCAGTTGAGTTCAGTTCTAATTTACATTTACATATTTTAAGTAAAAATTTCTCATCTTATAATTATTTATTTATTTATTTATTTAATTTCAGCTCTTTCAATTTACGAAAAATTATTTTTAATAGCTTTAGTTTTAGCTAACAACAACAACACTCATTTTTACAGGTTTCCATCATCAAGTTTGAATGAATTCACAATGACCAGAAGTAAAAAAGCTAGTGTTAGGCTAAGGGAACTACACCACAGTCGCACAAAGCCAATGTCACCACCACTAAGCCTCTGACAAATCTTTCAATCTTCATTTTAAATTTCTTTGTTCCATGGAACACAAAAGGAACAAATTTGAATCATGTAGTTGTTCCCAAACAAAATTTCAGTCTGCTTGCCAGGCAAGTTTTTGAATCACTTCAGAAGATTCAGATGTTTATGGTTCTTTTTTTTTTTTTATCATTTTGATGCTTGACAGCTCCAATCCTCATTTACTTTCATTATGAGTGACTAAATTATGAAATAAATGATAACAGAATATCATTTTATTGTGCTTTTAGTTTAATTTGCTACCACAACAGTAAAAAGTTTACAGCTAGGCTAATGAACTATATTACTTGGCAGAAGGATTGTTTTTTTGTCAATTATGATTAATAAAGGTAATTATTCACTGATCCTTTGTGTCCTTTATCATTGCCGGTGTATAATGAAAGTGAGCCAGATGAGGCTGTGTGTTACAGTGATTTTCGTGGCTTATTACTTTAATTGATTTTTACTCCCACTTCCCTAACTTTTGCTGCTTTTCTCTTTCTTTCTCTTTCTTTCTTTCTTTCTTCCCTCCCTCCCTCTCTCTCTCTCTCTTTCTTTCTTTCTTTCGCCAGCTGTCCATGGAGGACACCACCTCCATTTTGCCCAATCTGAAGCGGAACTCCAACGCCTATGGGATTGGAGCTCTGGCTAAGTCCTCTCTGACAGGTGTGACAGCTCCAATCCTCATGTACTTTCATTATGAGTGACTCATAAATTATGAAATAAATGATAACAGAATATTCATTTTTAAACTATCGTTTTAATGTGCTTTTAGTTTAATTTGCTACCACAACAGTAAAAAGTTTACAGCTAGGCTAATGAACTATATTACTTGGCAGAAGGATTGTTTTTTTGTCAATTATGATTAATAAATGTAATTATTCACTGATCCTTTGTGTCCTTTATCATTGCCGGTGTATAATGAAAGTGAGCCAGATGAGGCTGTGTGTTACAGTGATTTTCGTGGCTTATTACTTTAATTGATTTTTACTCCCACTTCCCTAACTTTTGCTGCTTTTCTCTTTCTTTCTCTTTCTTTCTTTCTTTCTTCCCTCCCTCCCTCTCTCTCTCTCTCTTTCTTTCTTTCTTTCGCCAGCTGTCCATGGAGGACACCACCTCCATTTTGCCCAATCTGAAGCGGAACTCCAACGCCTATGGGATTGGAGCTCTGGCTAAGTCCTCTCTGACAGGTGTGTCAGGTGTGTGTCTGTCCCGGTAGCTGGTAACCGACCCCATGTTGGCTCCAGAGGAGGAGATGGCGATTGGAGCCAACATGGCTGCCCCTGTGGGTCCCCCTCCCTTTCCAGTTTCACCACCTGCCTCCTCCATTAATTAGTGCATGTCAATGGCCTCTTTAGCCATTGATGAAATCCCCAGTCAGACCCAACAAGAGTTCAAATGGCACGTATGGTCACCCTACGTAAGTGCACCATCCATCTCCACAAGCTTGCTGCTGGGAAACGTCGTCTTTCGGTGTGATGCCAGCTGTGTATTGTAGTGTGTTTTGTTGTTTTGTGAAGTAAACTGTTGGTCATTAGTGTGTTGTGGTGGTGTTGTTTTTTTATGGATACTGCTCATTGTCACAACAGGTTTCGGGAAACGTAGGTATCTGAATCTCTCTTGATTTCATGTCCTGTATCTTTTGTAATTCTCTTGTTTTTCCTAAATGCTTGAAAATGGGGTGAAGTGCTCAAGTGATACCATTAGATTGTTTCCCCCCTGGAACAAACGGGGGTGCTTTATCAAAGGATTTAAAGAGAGCAGTCACTTCATCAGATAGGGTTTTTATCATTGTCAGCAGCCTAGAGAAAAATCATGCAACTGTCAGCGAGGTTACCATCAGACTATCTTGTTTTTAGCTCTCGTTAACATTCAGAGCCTTACGTTTTAAACGAATGCGTCTCCCGTTCAAATGAGATGTTTGCATGCTAATGAGCCATTTTGTTTAAAGGAAATATGTTTAGACGTTTCCCTTTCGGCTCTAATTATTCATACATGCATAAAAGCTTATGAATCTCATGTAATTCATTACTCTTGTGAATAATGTATTTCTAAACATGGTCAACCAATCGCATCTCTCTCACCGCTTGTGCGGCGATTGATCAAATCAACAGACTGTAGCGCATTTATAATCACTCATTCAGTTGTTATCATCCACAGAGCCTTGCAGTAGTTTACTGTAGTGAGGTGATTAAACAAATGACACATATCCCATAATGCACTGCCTGGCTGCTTTCATTTCGCCCTTTCTGCAGCTCCATGTAGAGTCTGTAGAGGCGCTGACTTGTGTTTCTTTTTCTTTAGGGGTTACCAGATCAATGAAGGACAAAGTGACCAAGCCCACTGCCATGGCTCAGGGTCGTGTGGCCCACATGATTGAGTGGCAGAGCTGGGGTAAACCATCCGCAGGGCCAGAAGGGGGAGCGGGACGCTCCAATCTGAACCGCGAGAGGGAGAGACGGCTTGAAAATGACGCCTATAGTGACCTGAGTGATGGAGAAAAAGAGGCACGAATGGCAGCGGGTGAGATGATTGGAAAATGTATTATGGTAAAGTCACCAGACAGAAATGTCATCCCCCTTCTCACATTTAGTTGTGGTACAGGGTGGAAACATAATATATTAAGTTGAAATGTATGCCTATGATTTATAGCGTTAAAGGACATTTGAACATTTTCTAAATTAAACTGTACCATATTTTAACTTATCAGTATATTTGGGTTTTACTTGTAAGCTTATAAGATTAAACCTCACTTAATTTGGCATGTTTTGTTGCTCAATACAAATAAAAACATGGGGTCAGAAAAATGCAATTATATTATTATAAATATTATATTACTAAAACACACAATATATTTACTCCATATTCTCTTAAAGTCTCAATATCTCATGCAATTTTGCTTCTCTGGTCTTGGTTTAAGGGTGTTTATAAATAAATAAACACTGCAGTACATTAATAGCAAATTTTTATATCAGCACAAAAATGTGGGCTTTTTTATATTAAAATCCTAAAATTTCATAGGGACTAAAATGTGCAATAAATTACATTCAATTTTAATATTTCATTTAATTAATTTTTTTTTTTTTTACTAACACAACCTTTCTGAGAATTTATTGTTATTTCCAATTTTGTAATCTGTAAGATTTTTTCCTAATGTTTAAGAAAGTATTTTATGCTTACCAAGGCTGTATTTATGCAATTGAAAATGCAGTAAATTAGTAATATTGTAAAATATTATTATTATTTAAAATAACTGCTTTCTATTTTAATATATTTCAAAATGTAATTTATTCCTATAACGGCAAATTAGTGTCACACGATCCTTCGGAAATTATACTAACATGCTGATTTGGTACTAAAGAAACATTTCTTATTATCATAAGAAAACAGTTGTGCTGCTTAATATTTTTGTGGAAACCGTAATACATTTTTTGAAGAATAGAAAGATCAAAAGAGCAGCATTTATTTGTAATATAAATCTTTTGTAACATTTATAAATGTCTTAACTGTCACTTTTGATCAATTTAATGCATCCTTTCATTTCTAAACAAAAGTATGAATTTTTTTAAACAATATTAATAATAATAAAACCATACTGACCCCACATTTTTGAACAGTAGTATTTATATGCCAAAATAAGAATTTGGAAATGTTTAGCGGAGTGAACCACCCAGTGAGAATCTGTGAGTATATTTCGTCTTTAAAACATCAAAATAGTAAATTGACTTTTTGCAGGCATTATGCAGCAGTTTGCCATCTCTGAGGCCACACTCTTAACCTGGAACTATATGGATGGAGAGAGTCTCTGTGCCAACTCCAACCAGGGCAGCGTGGCTCACCTCAGTGAGGTTAACCAGGAGAGCATCACCAGCAGAGGTGAGGGTCACCAACAACCACCTCATGCCATAACAGAATGAAGACATTGTTGGAGAGATTTTAATAAAGGCAATATACAGTAATTTATGTTATGTTACATTAAAGTTTTTACATTTTGTTTGACTTCAGATGAATGGAACAATCTTTTGTTAATCCACAGCTCAGATATTACAAGCACACACTTCTTAAGCACATCCTTGCATGATCATTACACTGGCAGCTCAAAAGCTTGTGAATATTCATCCGCTCTTGCAGTAAGAAATGTTTGCATCTTTTGACAGGAGTCTCATAACCACACCTCTGCGTTTCACTGATGTGAGCACTTGGATATTTCTGCCGATTTGTTTTATATTGTTTACCTAGCCTTGACTGATGTGACTTCCAGTCCATTTGACAGGTCTAGAGCGCATTGCCACCACTTTATTTAGTGTGAGGAAATGTGTCAGAGATGCCACAGTGACAGCTGCAGGCCCAAAGGCGATGGGGGAGAATGGCAGAACAGCACTTTTCCTGAGGTTCAGCTATCAGAGCTTATACAAGCCCTGGGTTGAAGCCAGGTTGCAGCGTAACACCAAACAAAAAGCATCTCTTTGGCCTGATTATGTCAAAATAAGAGAACTGTAACAATGAAAAAAAAAATACATGATTGTAAACATTTTTAAAGGGATAGTCCAACCAAATGGAATATTCTGTCATTTACACACCCTAATGTCGTTCCACACTTGTATGATATTCTTTGTTTTGAGGAGCACACAAATGAGATATTTTCAAGAATGTTCGTAACCAAAGAGTTTAGGCTCCTGCTGACTTTCATTATATGGATAAAAAATACAATGGAAGTCAATAGGGGCCGACACAGTTTCATTTTGGGGTTTAAATCATCTCTTTAAAATGATTTGACTGTATGATTAGAACATAAGGAATTTTAAAATGTTAGAATTTAGTTTTAAAAAATTATTAAAAATTTAAAAGAATAGCAGAGTCCACACCACATCTAGAATGATAACGACACAGAGGAAGGCTATCAGTAGAATCACTTCCAGTTTTTTTTCCAGCTGATAAAAAAAAACATTGACAGTCAATCAGAATCCACCCTGCTTTATTAAAGAACTTGAGCATTTAAAGTGGCAGACAAAACTGCAAAGTGTAGAACGTTAGAAAGTTATCGTGTTTTTGTGTGGATGCTAATATGGCTATTGTTCTAGAAACTACTTTGGTTTCACCTGCATTTGAACCCTCACCTTATGACCTTCCGTCTGTCTCTCCTTCGTTTCCACGTCTCTGTCCTTCAGACCAGCCGTTGCATCACTCCTCGGCAGAAGTGTGGCCTCACACCTATGTCTCCCAAGGCCTTTACTGTCTCTCCTCCTCTGATGCGTGGGAGCCAATCAGCAACGAGCCCTCGGTCGTAGCTTCTCCCGCTGCCAGCTCTTACATCATGGCGGGCGGGGCTTCGGGTGAGGGTTATGACGGCTCCACCCACTATTTGACACAGCAGCAGCTGACGTTGCAGCAGCAGAACCACCTACAGCAGTTCCAACAGTATCAGCAGTACCAGCAGCAGCAGCTCCTGCAGTATCAACAGGTCAGAAAACACAGTTTGACACGCTGCCATGTTTACATGCTCAGAGGAACACTACAGAGTTGTGTTTAGCTCTACTGCTTGACCTGTTTTAGCAATTGTAGTTTATTCCCTCATTAAAGATGTTCAGGACTCATTTTTGTATCTTCTGTACCCCATATTAAAATACTTTTTTGCTTCAAAGTTTGTTTTTCCCATCATACCTGCAAACATTCTTGATTCTTTTTCTCATGTTTTCTCTTGAAGTCTTTGGAACATCGACTGCACAGCGCCTCTCACTCCTTACAAGCCACGCCCAACAGCACTATTCACAGTTTGGGCCCACCCACCCACCCGAGACTGGCTGACTTGTGGGCGGCGGCTCAGGTGGAGCCCCATCAGGTGGAGATGCTGGGACACATGGGCGTGACCATGGCCGAAATGGGAATGGCGGAAGTGTATGGTGAGGAATCCGTTGCGGAGACCGAATGCATCCCAGAGCAGCAAGAGGAGGAGGAAGTCAAGGTGGCATTTTTTATATCCACATCCTTCACCACCAGTTAACCCAAAAATGAACATTTTCTGAAAATGTACTCACTCTCTGGCCATCCAAGATGTAGATGGGTAAAGATCAGAGCAGATTTGGAGAAATTACATCACTTGCTCACCAATGGATCCTCTGCAGTGAATGGGTGCCGTCAGAATGAGAGTCCAAACAGCTGATAAAAACATCACAATAATCCACACCACTCCAGTCCATCAATTAACATCTGGTGAAGCGGGAATCGCTCATCATATAATCTAATACATTTTTAAGTTCTCTATCTATAATATTGCTTTCTCCAGTGAAGAAGTCATCTTTTCTGAATCAGAAGAGAAATATGAACAGATTACACACTGTTTGCAAGTGAAAGCATTCCAAGACCATTCTAAACAACTATGCCAATGGATTTTGATGTCAGAGGACAACAGGGGATGGACTCTATTATGGATTGGTATTTTGGCCAGAATTGACCGTTTAAAAGTTAAAACAACTTGATGCATTTGCTTCTTACAAAAACACAGCTTTTCACGTCACAAGACGCTAATCGATGGACTGGAGTGGTGTGGATTACTTGTGGATTACTGTGGTGTTTTTATCAGCTGTTTGGACTCTCATTCTGACAGCACCCATTCACTGCAGAGGATCCACTGGTGAGCAAGTGATGTAATGCTACATTTCTCCAAATCTGTTCTGAGGAAGAAACAAACTCATCTACATCTTGGATGGCCTGAGGGTTTGCAAAATTCAGCAAATTAGGTGAACTATTCCTTTAATTTTTTTCTCTCTTTCTCAAGGAGGATGACATAACACTTACCCTGGAACCCGAGCTGACATCCATAACTCCTGCCCTGACCCCTCCATCTCTGAGAGAGGACTCCACCCCATCTGGGGGCATGAGCCCAGGGCAAGCACCAGCAGAGCCAGTGGTTGAGCACATGACCTACGAAGTCACATCCTGCGTCGTCCAATCACAAGAGAAGAAAGAAGAGGTGGGGGATGGGGCCGTTGTTGTTGTGGCAACCAACTGACCGTTTAAATCGAGGGGCATCCGAAAAAACGGAGCGAAAAAAACGAAACTGTGAAATAATCCATCAGTTAAGCTATTGTATACGCTCTTTTACCCCAGATGTGTATTCGTAAGGACTGTCACATCAGGAACAGATTTATTCGTTATCAAACGCCGAAAGAACAGAGCTCTGGCCGCCTATAGAGACTAAACGCGGGAGAGTGTCAAAGCCAGGATGATACAATTTATGTGCTGCTGCTGCTGTTTTATGGCAGGAGCACTGGAGTCCAAGGCCGCTTACGAATGAAAACGAAGAGTGCAATACTGAGAAATCAATACAACCAAAAGAAAGTGCATGCGGTTTTTTTTTTTTTGAATATTTAAATGACTGAATTAACAGTATCCACATAGTAATAATACATATTGATTTTGTAATAAAACTAAAAGCCAATGAAACAAATATGTATTTGTATGTATATATATAACATGTATGTACTGTATGTATGTTAGTATGAATGTATGGATGTATGTGTATTTAAAGGTATATTCTGAAAAAAACGTTACGACTTTGCCGTTTGCGTGAAGTGTTCCCTAGGTACCTCCAACACACGCACACACACTTACACAAACACTGATGCACACACAAGTACACACCCTGGAAAACATGTTTTTGCTCTTAATATATCCAAGCACAATACTGCCCAAATGGAAACAGTGCTGCCCTTTTCAACATCCTAACTGTATTGTTACTAAGACTTATGCACTACTATGGACATAAACGAATGTATTGCCTATCTTCTTAGCGACAGCCCGGTTCTGTCCTCAAGTTTTTTTGTTCTGTTCTGCGTCATTTTTCTCATCAATGTCTGTGTTTATCCGTTTGCGTACTGCCTGGCGGAGCTGCTCAATATTGATTTGCACTGAACAACAAAAGGAAAACTGAAGAGTCATCGTCGTCATTCTGGGACGTTCCATTAATATTTTCATGCAAAAAGAGGAGTAAACTTTGGATGCTTTTAATCCGTTGAGGCTGAGACTACAGGAAACCAAACTGTGAATCTTGAAGACCACTCATGGATCCATTCATTTCCATTTTTGATGAACTAACATGTAGGAGCCATTTATATCATGCATGCATGCATTTTCTATGTTATTTACGTTATAGCTTTCCCTGTAGCTGACATAATGCAAAGAGATAAACTCTCATTACCTCAGTAAAATCATGTGGTAATGGGCTAGTTGACATGTTCGGTCACAGTGTGTTTTTGTCACGACAGACCGTATGACTGTGGAAAGAAGTGAAAAGAAGGTGCTTTTCTGGTTAATGCGTGCAGGCTTTCCACTAATTATTTAATAAACTGTAATTTAAATACCCGCTGCAGAAAGAAGTGCCCTCGACTACTAGCGTGCACGCCAAACCTTTGTCGATACTTACATACGTTCCAAAAGAGAGAACAACAACAACAAAACATTTTGGATGTGGCAACATTAACACTAATTTAGACTTAGAAGGCATTTGGTTTAGCAATGATTTATATTCTTTGATGATTTTAAGAGTTTTGATTAATGCCGTTATGCAATGCTGAGGTAACATTTATTTTTCTATACTAATGAGGCCAGCGAGTTGTCATTCTTTGTGATATTTCGAACATCATAGGACTAGCGTCTAGAGTCATTTTCAAAGATCTAATGGTTGTTTTTGGAAATTCGAGAGCAGGCGAAATGAGAAAGATTGAAGTGGATGATGTCTCGTGTTCAACGAACAAAATTAGATTCTTTGGAAAGTACACTTTCAGTATCTTTAATGTCAGAGCTCTTTGTGAAATGTCCAAAAGATGGTGACATTAATAGCTCACAGCAATGATGTCATAATTCTGTCATACTCTGTGAAATATGATGCATTTAGTGCAGAATGGCAAAGCAACGCCTGAAATCAGAAATGGGTTTCTGATTATTGAGGAATAAAAATCAAGCTAGGTAGCAATCTTGCAGTTTCTTCAACTCCATTCAGTGTCATCCTGTAACCTCATTCAAATCATGTGCTGTAAATAAAATCCTTATTGCAAAGGTCTGTCTCATTTGTTAACGGCTATAGAGATTTATAAAAGACCAGTAAATTGTATAGATATATTAAGATACTCTCTCACTGAATCACTGCACTATTTTACACAATGATTAAAAAAAAAAAAAACATTTATCATTCCACATCTGACTAATCTAAGAAAGTATGAGCCATAAAAGCTTTTTTAATTCAAATTTATCACTGTTTATTGAATTGTTATTAATTCCTGGAAGATATGATCAAGATTGAATGCTTTTAGATATATAAATCTCCTTCTCATTATTCAAAACAATTCACAAAACCAACAGTAACGTTTCAAAACTTCGTTATGAATCAAACATTTTCTGTTGATATCTCATCACACCAAGAAGGAAAGAGATGAATGAATAAATTAATTAATAAATATGACAAAAACAAACAAACATGGAAGCCAATAAAGTTATTGCTCACAGACTGAACAGATATAAAAATCCCATTAAATTAACTGTAACATTTAAAAGACGACAGCAGATCACATGAACCATAGATTGTTCATAAACAGCAGAGTCCTCGGTTTAAAGACATGAGAGACACCTGAGAGAGAGTTTTCAGAAAAAAAGATGGATAGATGATGGCAGGACATGAAGAATTGCATTAAGAAAGGACAGTGTGCACATCCTGAATTTTAAATTGCTTAAAAATGTATAACTGGAAAAGATCACAAAAAAAATATGTTCCAGGTGAAAAGAAAGTTCAGATTCTGAAAAGGTCCACAATGTGCCACCTGCTGGCCACTACTTCACAATGCAGTGTAAATATTTGTTGGAAATCGATTTTTGACATTTTATAACATAAAAGGGTCCACGCCCTTTAATAAAGTGTTCATATGAAATGATTTAGGTGCATGAAGACAAGTGCTTTTTTGAGGTCTGAAATCATGTCTGCCGAATGTAAACCTGGTTCAACATTATCAGCAGCATTTATGTCACTAATGATAGTGTTCATGTTTTGGTGCTCCAATAAAATCATTTTTTATATAATCAGTTAATGTTTGAAGATTCCCCATCCATTTAAAAAAAAAATCCCACTGAAAAGAAGTGCAGCCACAGGGTCAGTGTTACATTACACTACTGAACGTCAAGGGAACACACTGAAAAATATATTTGAAGTGTTATTGGGGAGAAAAAAAAGAAATCGAGCACCTATTTGACCATAATCTCAATAATAAGTCTTATGATACATGATACATATTTCTACTGGGGCAGCTTATATTTATTTACAGTTTTTTTTAGAAGAAAATGAAAAAAGGAGGAAGAGGAAGAGGAAGAGCAAGTGGTAGTGGAAGAGAATAAATTTATTTACAGAAATTTTTAGTGGAAAGAGAAATAAACAGGTGAAGTCTAAGTAGAAAAAAATCTAGAGGAAAAAGAAGAGGACAAGAAAATTTACAGAAAATTCTAGAGGAAGAAGAAGAGCAGAACTCTCTCTTCTTACTTTTCTTCTTCTTTAAAAAATTCTGTAAATTTTCTTTTTTTCTTAAGTAGAAGAAAGAAGAAGAGGAAAAAAAGGAAAAGAAAATTATTTACAGAAATGTAAAAAGAGGGAGGGGGAGGAAGAGAATAAGGAAGAGAATAGAGGAAAAGGAAGCAGATGAGAGAGGAGGAGAACAAATGTGACTCAGGAAAAGAACAGACATTTTGAAACCTTTGAAATGAGCACATGAATAAAAAAAACAAAACATGAAATTGTTATATAAAAATAAATGTGAAAAAAGTACACTGATCACACCTCAAAAAGAAAAACAAACTTTACTTGTTCTAAAGGGGCTCCTCGTCCTCATTTTCTTCACCTTCCTTGTTCTCCGGGACGGGCTGCAGGGTGGAGAGAGGGATGGGGGGTGGAGGAGAAGAGGGCGGCAGGTTTGGGCTGCTATCGGGACTTCCTTTCTCACTGTCACTACTTCCTGTCCCGCTACTGCTTCCTGTTGTCGAGCTACTGTTGTTCCCTACAATCACTTCCCGCTTCACGCCCTCAATCCACACTTCCATCTCCTCCTTCACTGGGGCCGCTGGGCTGGGGGAATGAGCATGAGGGACCACGGGTACAGAGAGAGGCGAGGAAGGAGCTGTGGTGGAGCCGGGCGAGGATGGAGGGGAGGAGGCCGGAGGTGGCTTCGAAGCTTTACGAATTGTGTCACGGAAACTGGCCAAAGGGGGGCGCAAGCGCACGCCACTGCGCGTGGAGCCCTCAATGGCTTTTTGGAGCTGATGCAGAAGAAGAAAGAAGGGTTAAACAATCTAAAAAAGGAGAATTTACTAGCAGCAACAATGCATGGATGGATGGAGATGGGCTACCTCTTTCAGTGCCACAACTCCCACTAGTTTTCCAGTATTGGTTACATAGGCATGACTGAGGCCCAGTAGAGAGAACAAGGTATGAGTCTGGGGGAAAAAAAGGTGTTTTTACAGACCTTCAAAAAAATCATCAAGATATTCTAAATTATTTTAAATAACTATGCTTAAACAAAAAAGATTTGTTCATTTACACCAGTGTTTTCCAAACTGAAGTTTGTGAGTAAATGAAAAGCTAATAATTAATACATGTAACATTAAAATAAATAAATAACTGTACTATAAAAAAAACTAATCAAAATAAAACACTTACTAAAAAATGTTATTTTATATAATATTTTGAAATATTTTGTTTACCTGTGTGCCATGTGACTATTAACAGACATCAATGAACTGTGAACATGCAAAAGTGTTGAATTATTGAAATATTAACTTAAAGCTGCAGTCCGTAAGTTTTGCCTCTTTGTCGCCATCTCTGTTTGAAAACCTGGAATTGCAGCTGTGTGCGGAATTATCTAGCTAAATATTTTAGGTTAACGTGGTTTGGCTGACAAAAAGTTTATGAATTACTGATTTACACTTATAAATAGGAATGCATCATTAAAATTTTGACTGATACAATTAGCCGATAATGATTTAAATATATTATTTAATTAATAATTATTAATTATATGAAGGCAATTTAATGTTAATTGAATATATTATATATTAAAATCTACACTATTTTGTTAAATTAAAATGCTAAAACTGAAATTAATAGGTTTAAATCTACAAGTGAATTTAGGCATCACAACATAATGTACAGTATAAAAATTGATATTCTTTTTGAGATTTGCTAGATTACATTTAACAATGTAATCTAATCCCAATATTAGCGGATACTGATAAATTAAAAAAATCTAATATGGTATAGATATATCATGCATTCATCACTATTGCCTTCTCTAGAGCTGATTATAGGTGAATTGTACGCGTCTCATAATTGACACTTAAACTGAACTGAATCAACACTGAACTGACTTGAGCTGAATAATGACACTATTGTCTTCTGTAGTACTGCTTTACAGATGAAATTGACTGTTTCATAATTGATGCACTTTGCAACATTAATACTGTTATTTTCCAGTTTATTACTGTGAAGCTGTACAATCTTTATTGTATAAAGCACTACATAAATAAACATAACTTGACATGGCATGGCATGTCTCTCACCTTATGTAGTGACGTTCTCTCCACCAGCTGGAAGGGGGAGGGGTCTATTCTGATCTGATCGATTTCCAGAGGTTTGTCCATCTCTGTCTCCTCCCAGGCTTTGATCTATGTGACCCAATCAAAACCAGGTAAGGCTTTGACTCTAATATGCCTTTTTTATTTTAGCAACTCTTCTGCATTTATAAACTACACAGGAATTAAAACAACTAACAATATCCAGAATCTACATTAATACAATTTCCATGCTTTAAAGGGTTATTTCACCCAAAAATGAAAATTAGCCCATAAATTACTCACCCTCAAGTCATCCTAGGTGTATATGACTTTCTTCTTTCAGACGAATCCAGTCGGAGTTATATTAAAAATTGTCTTTGATCTTTCAAGCTGTTTCATGGCACTCAGCGTGCATCAGTCCAAAAGAAGTGAAATAAAATGTGCCCATCCATAAAGAAAAAAGTGTCTCACACGACTCCGGGGGATGAACAAAGGCCTTCTGTAGCGAATCAATGGGCTTATATCGAAATCCTCCGACATTCTTCTCCTCGTTTTGTACTTCTAATTAGTGACCGGTGTTTTGTTTTGATCTCTCCGCTGCGTTTACACGTTCGTCACTTCTGAGCGGCGCGTGCGCAAAGCTGACCTCATACGTCATTCCCCCGGAACTGCTTCTGTTTACAGCAGTGAGCGCAAGCTAGATTAAATTGATTATTACATTTTAAATATGGTTATTTTTCTTACAAAAACGAATCGATTCGCTACAGGAGGCCTTTGTTCACCCCCCGGAGCCGTGTGAGACACTTTTTTTTAATGGATGGGTGCATTTTAATTAAGTGCTTTTGGACTGATGCATGCAACACCCGCTGAGTGCCATGAAACAGCTTGAAAGATCAAAGACAATTTTTAATATAACTCCGACTGGATTCGTCTGAAAGAAGAAAGTCATATACACCTAGGATGACTTGAGGGTGAGTAATTTGTGGGCTAATTTTCATTTTTGGGTGAACTAACCCTTTAATGTCTAATTGGAATTTTATTTTTTATAGTATTGGTAATACCTGTTCTGGTGTCATTGTGTCAGTTAAAGGTGGAGGATAAGGCTCCTAGGGTGAAAAATGGCAAGGAAATTCAATTATACATGACATGGTGCATTTGTACCAAGCATTCAAACTCATTAACATTTTAGAGTATTTTCATATTGACACATTCTACGGAAGACCGTTCACTTTCCTTTAACCGCACATGTTCTTGAAAAACACTGATGAATATTAATGCAGACCATTAGCAATATATTCGCACTTCTCATTTTATCGACCTTACATTAAAATTTCATACATGCTGAGAGTAATTCATTTAGTGCACTCAAATTCACTTGATGGAACAGACACACACAGGTTTTCACAAGGGACTTATAGACACAAACAATGTACCTGTGGCTGACCTTCTGTGTGTCGTTCTGAAGAGGATGAAAAGTAGTTACGTAAAATTCTCCCGAAAGACTGGGAAGGACCCTTATCTAGGCAAGAAGAGAAGGATAGAGAGAAGGAGAAAAACGAAAAAGTCGGAGGGCAGATTAGAGGATGAGTATCACTTATGACGCCTCAAGATGCTTGTTCAAAAGAAGTGCTTGCCCGAGGTTTATTAAGGTTTTTAAAGAGGATGGCTTGGTTATGTTTGCTGGTGAGTTTCTCACCGGGAGATGTGTGATTGGTGGATGGTTCTGAAGGTTTGGATGGAGGCACAGGACCGTTTCTTTCCTCTTTATCTGGTATCGTCTAAACATTCACAGAGAACAAATACAAATAGTAATTTTGAATCTTCATGAAAAATTAAGTCTCGATATATAAACTCGATATTATGTTTTCATTATTATTTATTACATTTTATATTTTATGAGCACAGCAGCTTCAGAAAAGGCATTCAAGATAGATAGATAGATAGATAGATAGATACCTTATCATCTTCATTCTCCTCTTCCTCCTCATCAACAAAGGCAAAAGATTCCCAGCTGATTTTGGCACAAGGCACTTGACCTTGTGAGCTCTGTCCTTGTGTTAGGATCCGCCTCTCTGCTGACAGCCACCAATCACAGAGGGCGAGAAGCTCAGACCTCTCAATACTGCCCAATAGAATCATAGATTCTGTTGAAGGTGAAGTGAGTTCAGAAGCCAGTTACATATAAGTATTAAAATGTTTTCTGACACTAAGGCTCTGTTCCAAAATCTATACTGTCGAGATAGGCCTTATACAGGATGTGACTGATTTGAAATTCTACAAAGAAGCAACTTTATGTTGCTAAGCTATCAATATGAGGTTGATAGCTTGCTAGGTTTTTAAACAGTGCTTTAGATTGTTTGAGTGAAACAATATAAAAGTACATACAGTAGCTCACCTTGGTAGACTGCATGCAGCTAGAAAAATGTCATAATGAGAAGTTTAATTAGATGCAGGGAATTGTCTAGACAGCCTGTGTGACATTACCTTTTGAGTCGACCAGCGGGAAGGTTTTTAAAGAGGTCGAGTCCAGCAAATGCAGTCCTTCTCTGTATGTAGAGTGGGAAGATAAAAACTTGACTTTCCTCACCATGATGTCCTCCACGAAGATGTTATACTGGCTGCAAGAAAACAGAGAATCTGAAGTAAGGCCACAAGCTTAAGGCTGGTTGAAACCGTTTAAAAGCTTAATAACTCTAGACTGGTGGTCTCAGGTCTGTTCTGACAAGGAAAATTCAATTCTTAATCCAAAAAATAAAATGCACGGACCATATAAAAGTGCATAGTTAGAACAGCAAAATATATAGGCTTTAAAAGGAAGCAGAAAATGATCAAATGTGCCAAAAGAAATAGGAACCAAACTTATTGGCTGCTTTAATAATATGTCATAACATAATGACACATACCATATTAGGCCCAGTAATAATCATTAGCAAACCTAAAAAAAGTGAACATATATTTTTCATATTTTACAAGTGTTATTTTAGTATCACTGAGATACTATTATAGTTTTTGTTAATATTTTGAATTGGATTTTATTTTTATATTTCCTGCGTGCATGCTAATTTTAGTTTTGTTGTATGTTTTTGTCATTTTTTAAATTATTTTTTTGTTGTTTTTAAATATGTCTATATAGTTTTTATACATTTTTTATTTCAGTTTTAGTTTTTTAGTACATCGAGATAAATTAAAAGACCTTGGAAATTAGCTGAAATGAAATAAGTTGAAGTTTTTTATATTTTATTTTAAGTAAAAATTTAAGTAATACCATTTTTATGTTTTTAGTTTTAATTAACTATAATAACCCTGTAACTGTATATTATAAAGTTATATTGATGTCTAAATTCACTTTTGGCATTTAAAGTGATATTTTTCTTTTAATTTATTTATACAAAATAGTAAAGAATTTAAATATCAGCCCTTTAAATATCAGTTTATTGGTATTGGACAACATTTTTATATTGATTCCCAGTTACATATTCCTATTCAATCTGAATTTCATGCCTTTCATGTCACATTATTAATTTAACATGTTGCTTACATAGTTCATTGCTAATATTCATTACACAGTTCATTGCAATATTAGAGTTTCAGTGTTTGATTTTTAAGTCCCTCATTTTATCGCTTAAAACTCAACTTTGACGTTTAAATGTTTTTTCCCATGAACAAAATTTCTTCATGCCTTAAAATGGCTTATATATAACTCTACACCCTTACCTCATTTAGTATACACAGACCAATGAATATGCAAATCAGTCCCCGCCTCCACTCAATTATACCTGCTCCACTTTCACTCGGTTTACTGAAGTAGCAGTAACGCTAGTAGTAACGCTACACAATGACAAGTGGCAATATTGGATTAATGTTTGAACCAGAAACTGATTCAGACGAAGAAGAGGAAGAGTGAATTCAGGGTTGTCTACAAGTCCATGTATCAGAATGGTAATGCATTTTATGTATTGCTCTATTGCTCTCTGCAATGTCAGACATATAACAGTAACTGATATCATTAGCTTTTGGCTTCGCTACATGATCAAACAGCTAATTTTGCTAATGTTACACAAACCATGGTTCTTCTGTTCACCATCTCAGACAGTTAATAATATGAAAAGCTCCACCCGCAAGTTCATGGGATTGGTTACATGTTTTGTGACCATAGGAAATGGGCTGTTTCAAACCACATTTTGGTCTTTGGTACACTGCATTTTTAAGGAGAAAATGCTCAGCAATGATGTTGACTGAAGAATATCCACATGGTTTGTCTTTAAGCAGATTGAAAAAACCCTGGAAGACATGTAAAGAATGTTAAAAACTTGGCACGGGGTCTTTAAGGACATTTTCGATTGCTTCTGTACAATTTTGGTAATGTGTTTGGTCACCACTTGATGTCCAATGTCAACTCTTGAACCACTACTTCACACCACAAAAGGGTAGATTAAGACGCAGAGTGCATCCTTGATAAAGAGGTAATGAATAGCCCAAATCTAATGTGTGTAGAGAGGCTCAGTGTTAGCTGGAAGGGTGCCAAAGCTTCATGTTGCCACCGCTCGTTGACAAGTGTACTTACTAATAGCTCCCGCTGCTAATGAATCACAAGGATTTTGAGGTGCTGTCAGCATGCAAGGGTGCGGGAACCGGGCTGCGCTGTGAGCCAAGCAGTTTTGTCACATACGTGGAGCCACGGCGATGGCGTTTGCAATGTCTGCACACCTTATGTGGCCGAAGCCCAGCTCGGGGAGATAGGGCAGCTTCTTGACCTGGATGATGGAGTCGTACAGCGATGGCTGCAGACCCTGCGCTACCATGTTGGCCAGGATGACGGCGACCATCATGGGAAGGATGTGAGAGATCTGACCGGTCAGCTCGAAGCAGATCACCGCCGTGGAAACAGTATGAGTGACGGCCCCTGTCAGCGCCGCCGCACCTTAAGAGAAAGGGATAGACCAATAGAGTAACAGGACAGAAGGATGGAGTGCTATAAGACAGAGTCATGACAGGAGTGACATAATGAACGGAGAGAGTATGGACACATGCAGCGGAAGATCAGAGATTAAGAGAAGAAAGGATAGGAACAGGAAGTGACATCATAAGCACAGTATGAGCACACATTAGGTAAGAGTGGTGGATCGGAAGAGGAGGAAAGGATGACTGACCAATGACAGCGTACCCTCCAGGGATGATGCGGTACAGTATTCCATCAAACAGGATACCGTGAGGAAAGAGAGTAGCCATGATCTCACCCACTAAACGACCGAATGCGGCACCTGTGAGGTATTGCAGTGGATATACAAATGTTTTTCATAAAGTCAAATAAATCCTATGTACCTGGCTAATTTCTATAAGTTTAATAAGTGAATTTACATTTTTATAATGAGATCCAAAAGTCTTGAGACCACAAGTGAAAGTTATTGTAAAATAAAATAAATTTTATGCGCCTGGCTAATTTCTGTAAATCTAATAAGTGAATTTACATATTTAGAGTGAGATCCAAAAGTCTGAGACTACTAGTGAAAATTATTACTTTTTTGCAATTACAATAAATTAAAAAATTATTTCATTACAGTTTATAAGCATATTAATGTGAGTGAAAATCTACCAAAAAGTACTTATTTGATTAGTGTCCTAAAATTGTGCAGAATCATACATTTTTACATTTATATTATTTTTTTTGTCACAACGCTCATTCCTTTGAAAACATTTTTTGTTCAAAATCTTCAATCAATAATTATTTTCCCCCCAGTTTCTTTTGGATCCCACTGTATGTTAAAGAGATCTTTAAATAAATCAGAAAACATCTGTAAATGGCAGCCACTAATAAATGAATAAAACCGGTGACCTACCCAATACAAAGACAGGCATGAAAGCTCCAGACGGGATGGGCATCGTGGTGGAAACTGCAGACATCCAGAACTGTGCGATGAATAATAATGTTTTCACACGATTGCCTTAATTCTAAAATCTCAAAGACCGCTGTCAGCACAACATGTACGAGCCTAACTCAAGAGAAAAATCACTGCTTCAAGCAGCTTCAAACATGACAGATGGAAAAAGATAATAACTGTGGAACCGTCCCGATTAAAAGCAGGTTTTATTGAAGCCATCTAGACAAATATGACTTGATAACTAAAGCCAATGTCAGTGCATTGTACTTTCTTAGTGTTTTAATGTGAAAATTACTTAATTGATGGAGGACAATGTGAACAAGAGATTGGAATGGACCAACCTTCATGATAAAGAAGAGAATAAGAATGACAAAGATGCTGACATCAGGGTGAAACCACACAGCAGAGCGACCGAGACCAGGAGGGAGGGAGGAACCCCATATTTTAGTCCAAGTGAAGTTATCAAACAGAGAGTTGATGCACTCCCTGGGCATCAGCTGCGGAATAATACAGTCAAATTCACATTTCAGACCCAATTCAACCAAACATCATTCCAAGACTGTTTGAATGAAAGACAGACCATAAACATTAAAGCAGTGGTTCTCAACCTTTGTGACTCCAATTCCCACCATTCTCTGCAAAAATAGCTGCTGTAATGACAACGTTTAGTTTTTTTTTAACTTTTAATCAGTGGACACTTTGTACATTAAATTTCAAGATTGCAAAAGCTGAATGTTCTTCAGGGTTCCCATTTGCTCCAGATTTACTGGATAAGTGTTTTAAAAAATATTTTTACTCACAATTTATACCAGATAAAATATTAGAACTTGGCTTAACTAGAAAAATGTGTATTCTTTATAAAAATTACCAAGGAATTTTAAGATTTGATTAAATTCCATGACTTTTCTTCAGGTTTAGAAATCATACTTTTCAAATAAGACTTCCTCACATATTCACAAACATAGTTTTCCATACATACAGATACCGTATATAGTCTTCCATTCATTGTTTTCCAAGATCATGAGAATTCGGAGAGAAAAATTAATATCTCAATATATACTGAGAAATTAAAAAATATAATAATTGAGAAATATCTCAATTTCTAGTAGTTTTAGCTTATTTTCATGCTTGTTTTGACTTATTTGAAAGCATTTTGGGGTTTGCTGAGGTCCCTAGTAGCACCTGGACCCTTGGTTGAGAACCGCTGCATTAGTGGATGATCCTTGAAAGCTGATATCATTTTTTGTTATAAAAATGAACAAAACTGTAGTATTAATTGTTAACAAATATTTCTAATCTGACCTCTCCAGCCATGAACTGCCCAAAGCCTGGAGGGAATGTCAGTGTCGTAATGACTAAGGTCACAACAGCAGGGAAAATCAGCCGGCTGAGAAAGAAAATGTGACACATATTTTGTACATTTTTTTCTGCATACTAATTTTAAAGATCACAGCAAAATAACTCTCAAGCGAGTACTACATACTCCTATAATAATGCTAAAGATAATATTAAAGCTCATGTTGTCTGTTGTCATTAGCTGTGTTAATTTCTCTTACTGTTTTGTAAGGAATCGTGTGAGAATGTTAGGTCTTCTCATGAACAGGACAACTTGGCGGTTCAGGTAAACGAAGAAAGCTCCCAGGAACCCACAAGAAATGCTGTGGGGGGAAAAAACAAAGAACAAATCTCATTATTCCAGTGATCCAAATACAAAAATTACATTCATGTTTTCACTGTGGCCCTCTCAGTTTTAGAATAAGAAGACAAGAAGATTGCTGTGCTCTCTGCTGAATTGTTTCTGATCAATGTGAGCACAATTATTATGGAACATAATAGAGTATAATAGAATAACTTCATCAAAATGTGTTCGTGAAACATGACGTTCCAACAAATCAAATATAATGCCAACATCTGGTCACTTTGGTTAAGTTAAAGTGCTGTGTGCTCAGGTCTGCGAGTGTGTCAAGGGTTACAGTATGGCACACACACAGCTTCAGGATTGTGCCCTCACCACGAACGGCACGCTCTCGCCCCCGCGCTCTCACCCAATAATGGCGAACGCCGGGAGCTCCTGCAGGTCGAAAGGAAAATCCATGCGGAAGTTGGTTCGGAAGAGAGCAGTGATGGTGACTGAAACAACAGATATGGAAGAGAAAAGTCAGCTGACATCTCAAGGCTTCCAAGACCTTCACTCAGGAATATGATTTAGTATCTCACCTGCATCCTTATTAAACACAGACAGCACTCTGAAAATAAAAGCACTGAATGTGGCAGCAAAGTAACCCCTCCAGTAGTTTCTCACAGCAAAATAGGTTGATGTAACTTCAATGCTGAACAAAACACCTGGATAAACAAAAGAAACATTTAGAAGGGGGTTCTGTCATGTACAGCAGGGATTTTCATACTTTCTGAAGCCAAGGACCACAAATATGATGACAGAATATGAAGACTTGAAGTATACTTGTAAGCTGTGAAATATTTTAACAATTTAAATGAACTGTTTTATATTTTAATATACTTTGGAATGTGGAATAAAATTATTAATTTCTATCCAAAAAATAAAAATCTGACCCCAAAATTTGGAATTGTAGTGTATATATTATTATTATTATTATTATTTAGTTTTTTACTTTTTATACAATTGTTTATTCTTGTTTTAAGTAAACCTGGCTACATTTTGTCAGATTTATACCTAAAACAAAATTGACAATGACTTTACAGGCAAACAATCATAAATAATGATTAAGATTCAGAATAAAAAAATATCTGAAATAGAAATCTTTTTATAAAAATGTAAACTTTTTTTTACTGTTGATTTGAATACAATTTTAATGCATTCTTCCAGGAAAAAAAAAACCTAACCCCAAACTTTTGAACGGTACTGTACATCTTACTTTTTTTTTTTACACCAATTGTTTAACCTTGCTACATTTTTGTCAGATTTATAACTAAAACAATGTTTGACAATACCATTTATCAAGAATAATCTGAAATGACAAGGAAAATGCCATTTTTGCACACACGTTACCTCCAAGAGGGGTTCCAAAACAGCATCCAACCCCCACAGCACAGCCCACTGTGAGGATGTCTGTATAACAATATGGGCTCTACTGACACAGAGACAAAAAGAGTGAAGCAGACACAGTTGAGGGTACAGGTGGGGAAAGATGGGAAATACTTTTTGGTAATAAAAATGCCCTGGATGATATATCAGTGCTGTCCTCAAAAATAATGTATAATAAAAAAAAGCTGTCCTGTCCCTGGATGATAAACGAGCATTCAGCATTTTATGAATGGAGATGCATTGCAGGATCTACATGCACTTCTGCTTACCTGATAGACTCCAGAGAAGAAAGACATAAACTTGCTGAGCACAGCTGCACAGATACTGGCTATGTGAACAAAGGGACCCTAATGCATAAAAATAGCACAGTTTAAAGGTAAGCATCAGATGGGGCTAAGGCCAGTTTACTTTTACTTTTAGTCATTTAGCAGACGCTTTTATCCAAAGCGACTTACAAATAAGAAAAAGTAATTAAAACTAAAAGCTAAATTAGTTTAGGTGACTCTACTGGCACTCGTACCCACCAAATCACAGTGCATTTTGTATAATATAAAATTATTGTTACATGATACATGTTATATGAGAGTGCAAAATCAAATGTGTCTCACCTCTTTGCCAACCGGCATACCGCTGCCCAGACCAGCAGTGAGTCCCACCACCTTTGCAATAAATGCCTTGAGTGTCAAATACTCCTTCAGCACAACACCTCTGAGTATGGTTTTCAGCTCTGGAATACCAGAGCCTGAGGGAAAATAAGAGTCAGAAGAGGAAAGAAAAAAGACAAAACAATCACATGGCTTGGAAAAAAGAAGGAATGAATCATGAAAAATCAATGTGAAAAGTCTGTAGACAGATAAATGTGATAATGGATAAGGATAGTTTACACTACACAGACAAGACAGCTGAAACCGATTATACTGTAATCTGAGTCATTGCTTTTCATGTAGCCTATAATATACTGGGCTTTTCATGAAAGTTTGGTTTTGGCTTTTAAATTACATTTGTTGCGTTTAAGCCCTCAGTTTTGTTTTGACCCCCTTTTTCTCTATATAGTCAAATAGTAAGAATGTAGACTTTAATTTTGGAATTTTGGAAAACATTGTTATCAGTGGAGAAATGTACAAATAAAGTATAGAAAAAAAGGGAACTGAAGAAACTGATTAACTAACCCTAACCTCCTGACAACCCAAATATTTATAAAGTTTCAGTTTTATAAAATGAAAGTAAACCTGCACAAGTACCACAGGTTGGGAATAAATGGTCTGAATGGTGTTGTTAAAATGACTGCAGCGTATTAACCAGCAGGTGGCATTGTTGAGTAGTAAACAGTGTTACAGTAGTTGAAGAAAACATTTATGTGGCTGGTATATTAACTGAAAGTGGCACAGAATACAGAATGTGTACTTTTAAGTGACAGACACAGAGTATGTAGACATCAGATTAAAAAACTGAGGTTATATAGACAGGGAAGGTCCCAAAATTACACCAAGCACCTAATATCAGTAAAGAACCGAGTATGAATTTCAAACACAGCCATTGTGAGTTGTGCCAAATAATATAAAGTATAGAAGTAAAAAAAATCTAAACAGTGAAGTTACACACCAATGGCCTGAGGAGCAACCAGGTGGCAGAACAGGGAGGCAAACAGGATGAGCACCATGGGATAGAAGACCCAGATCAGGTACTGCAGTGGGATATTTCCCCTCAACTCCCCATAAAACCACTTATATGCTGAGAGACACGGAGAAGGACAGAAGTGATGGAGCACACGAGGTAGAGAAAGGGGAAGACAGCAAATAAGGCAAAAGTTTTAGAAATGAAAATTGGGAAAAACATGGAAAGGTGGTAAAAGAATATGAGAAATAACAGTTGCCAAAATAAAACAGGGGTTTTCAATCTCATTGAAAATCTCCTTCTGAGGTACCCTTTAAATTGTAAAATTATACAATCTAATTTAAATCAAAAACTGCTCATGCAACATCTTTGTTTGGATAGTGATTGAGTGGTTCTGCAACTGTTTCATGCATTCTGATTCATATAAAAGGCACAGTCAGGGAAACCGTGATAAACCGTGAATCTGCCACAATCCTAAAAAAAGATTGTGATACAGATTTTTGGTCAAACCACCCAGCACTAATGTAAAAAATATTGTGTTCTAATTTTTTTGCTAGGTAAATTAGAATATATTTTGCTAAATATATTAAAATATTTTTTGCAAGTGTTAGAACTACTCCTGTTTGAAAACCTCTGAAACTGTACTGCACATAAGGAATTCTGGGTAGCGTAGTACCTTGCAGACTCTTGGCACTAGCATAATCCATGGTCCAGCTAACTAATGCCATGGTAATACCCAACAACACCAAAAAGATCCAGTCTTCTCCCAATTTAGAGATGAGGAACTTCTGTACTCGAGCCACACAGTCTGGGAAAACATTGCAATCCCTATCAGATTTCAAACCTCACACATAGTTTGTATCGGCTTTTGCAAGGCTTATTATTATTGACCTCTGCACTTGGAGTAGGATCGGCGTTTCTTGAACGAGGATGTGTGGCCCTGCTCCTCCTCCTGTCTGTCATGAATGCTGCCTATGTCCAGCTCCAGATGGTGGCGACTTCGGCTGTGACTGCGCCCATGGTGACTGTGATGGTGGTGATGTCCATGTTTTTTCCTCTGTCTCTCCATCAGAAGGCGAGAGGCCTCTCTCCGCTGGGACCCACCAGGGTGCTCCCTGTACTCTCCATATAGCTGATCACAGAAGAAAATCACAGGTTTTGTTACCCAAGAGATCAGTAGATAAATAGCTGACACATTTGTCTGAAGCAACTGAAAGTCCATTATAGTGGTATCTCATAAACTGCACCTTGCAAGGTTTGAGCCTACAAGCTTACAAGCTTCTTATTATTAGACATTTTGTTTGAAGTCATTATATTTCAAATATATAATAAATATATATTAATATATATATGTGTGCATTTGATTTTATTATTCATTAACATTCAAGAAGTCTTTGTTTTCTTTTGTCAGTAGTTCTTCAGATGAATAATGTTAAAATACAAGGCATCTTAGTAAATTTGTTTGACCGAATATTCAAAAAAAGTGCTTTTGATATCACTTTTAATATTCTTCACTGGTGTGATCACATAATAAATTGTCATAGACACTTCTTCGAAAAAAAAGTAAAACATCGCCCTCATTTTCAAAAACAACATGACACACCCGAGAGGTGACAGAGGAGAGGGAGTCCAAAAATAGAGGAAAATCTTCTCGACATGCTTTGAGTAAGACCACCAGCGGAAGAGCAGTAGTCTACATTTAGATTTATAACTGTCCGGATAAGACCCAGACATCTGGAAAATACATTCCTAGTGTCTTCATTCCCACTACTTTCTCTAACACAAACACACACACACACACACACACACACACACATGTAGTTTGACCTCAAACAAAAAGCTTTTCTTACTTAAATCTATTAAATGAGACTGATATATGACAATTTAAACCTGCAAATCTCATGAAATACTCTACAAACAATTTGTCACAATTCCTAATGACAGGGACAGTAAATGGGATCGGGACATGATGTAGGCCGAGCCTGTGTGTCTGCGAGCGTAACCCTAGTGCCATGACTCTGACTAATTTATTTACAAGCATTTAACCTACGGTTAAGAGTATGAAACAAGAAATGTTGCGGCTGGTACACAGCCACAAATGTGATGTCTCGTACATAGTAATTTTAATGCAACAGAACAGTTTATTTGCTGACAGCAGCAAATCCACGTCTTTCCACATGCTAAATATTATACTGCTGATAAATGAATCTCATTTTAGAAATGTAATGAAGTTAACAATGAAAATTACTGTAGATGCAGGAGATGCAAAGTGCTCAAAACTTGACTAACTTGAGACTAACATGATCAAATATGTTTTTTTAAAAATTCGATAAAGGAGATTTTCGTGCTTGATAAGCCTAAATAAACTGAAAATGTAAAGTTTTCTGGCCCAAATTTTAGCAGTTCTAATGAGCCACTATTATTGTATTATTTTGTAAATGTTATGTGGGCAACACATAACACATAAAATTAAATGTAAAAGAAAATTAAACAAATAAATTAACCTCATCAATTTGTTTTGCATCAAACTGTCAAAAGTGTCAGGGAAAAAAATCGATTTCAAATAAATGCTGGTCTTTTTTATTCATCAAAGAATCCCCGTATCGTGGTTTCCTCAAAAATATTAAGCAGCAGAGCTGTTTTCAACATTGACAATAAAACTATGAGAAATGTTTCTTGAATACAAAATATTGAGTACACCATATTTAAACAGAAAAAATATATTAAAATAATATATATTAAAAAACACAATATTACAATATTACTGTATATGTGATTAAATAAATGCAGTACTTACCACAAACTTTTGAATCGTAGTATAAATTATTATTGTATACACAGCTATAAATTAATTCTTGCTTTAAAATTGTATCTTGCTTTAAAACCATTTTTCTGTGGTTTAGGCCTAATATTTTTCAGAGAACATTAAATGTGTGTCTATATGTGTTACTATTTCCAGTTTTATTGAATTTCTCACTTTCACCTTTGGAATGGGCCCATGTAGATGATAGGTTTATCATGTATCTCTCTTCCTCATAACACATCTCACTTTCATTCCATGCGTCTATCCAGTTACTTTCACCCGTTCCCACAGTACATGTAATCTCTCGCTTTCTCCATATTTCACCCCCTCCTCTCTTCTCATCTCATCCCAGTCTGCTTCTACACCTACGGTCTTCTACACCCCCCGCAGACCCCCTCTGTCAGCCATAGATTGGAACTACCCCCTTTCTACCCAGGGCCTGTAATACTAGCCGCTAGGCTAATAATAGCTTCGTGTGACCCAATGTTCACAGCCACACTTCCCCACACACCTCTGTGTGGATCTTTCTGTCTTCCAATTTGTTCATCCGTCTTTCAAGGACTCCCAAGGAAAGTTGGAAACCTATAATCAGGCTACACTGTCATGCTAACTAGACAGCTAACAACAAATGTGGCACTGAGGCAATATGTGCAGTTTACACATGCAAGTACGTTGAGCACAACCAAGGTGTTGTCATTTTAATGAAAAAATACTAAGAAAACAATTATAAATAAGTAATTCCAATCAGAAAATGCTAATGTGCTCAAACTAAAGTGCGTTGGAAAGAGTTTTGATGGTATGCTGCTGTGCTTTAGGTCATGCTGATGGCAGTATGGGAAGGCTATCGAGGCAATTGTCATGGTGTTGTCATGTGATGTTATGTAAAGTCATATGTAATTCTGTTGAAGGTCTTCTAAAATAGATGTTCTTCCCATGCTGGGATGACCACACTTGTCAACATATCCCAATATGCTTGGCCTTTCTGTCAAGGCGCTTTTGTTCGGTAACTTTGCTAAATGTACACTTCGTATTAAGTAGAAGTAAAAAAAAATTATAATAAAATAAATAAATAAATAAAATGAATGACCTCATATGTGAATGGCACAGAGTTGTTAGTGTTAACTAAAACTACAACTATTAAAAATTATTTTTGGTAATTGAAATGAAGCTGAGATCAAATAAAATCTGACTAAATATTAGATGAAAAACTTAAAAATGAGAAATGCTGCAATGGAACTAACTGAAATAAAAAAGTTTAAGGTGAAGTACTAAAATTACTAAACTAAAACCGAACTAAATCGAATAAAAAACTATAAAGCGCATAATGAAATTACTAAAACTTAAACTAAAATGAAAAACTGAAAATATAAAAATAAATGCTAATTCAAAATATTAATAAATACTTACTACTAAAAAAAACACTGTATATGAGACAAATCTGAGATTCAGGTTGACAACATAAGTGAATTATCAAAAAATGCAACCCCTAATATCACAAAAACTCTAAAATAACTAAATCACCGGAAAGTAAAACAGCTAAAGCTAAAAGCCCTGTTTGCAATAAATATTGCTAATAAACATCTTGAGGTCGCCAATTTGTCATGTTGGTTGCTAGTAGCTATTTCTATTATCCAACTACATGACTGATAAAACTCTACAATCCCATTTGTTATTGCTGCATGGAATATCTGCTCATTTGCATAAAGCTGAACTCCTAGAAATCAAGAGATCAAACAAAAATGAATGACTTTTAGTTGTTTTGTTGCTGTAAATCACTGTAAGAGTGAAGTATTCTGTAGGTGACCCATAACCCAAAATACTGTATGCTTATTGATTGAACATTTACACACGTTTTCTATTGCTTATTCAATCAGTCTTACATGCTGTTCAATAAATCACAGTGACATGACTCACAAAAGATGACCTCAACTGATTGCATAAGAAAGCAATACTTCATTTTTTTTTATATTACACTAACCAAGATGTATGACCACCATTTCAAATGCTCAAACGCTCAACCTCATTCATCTCCCCTTCAGTCAAACCAGCAATCACAGCAGACAATCAGTCACACCAGATGCTCTGGAGCTCAAGGGACCACACTGACGGTCTCCCATGACAGGCTGAGATTAAGGAAGACATTTATAATCTATGATTGAGTTTCCACTAACACTACCATTCAAAAGTTTGGGGTCAGCACGTTTTTTTTTAAAGAAATTATTAGCAAGGATGCATTTCATTGATTAAAAGAGATAGTAAAGCCATTCGTAATGTTTCAAAAGATTTCTATTTCAAATAAATTCTGAAAAATATTCAATAAATCTTGAAACAATCTATAGGGTTTCCACAAAAATATCAAGCAGCACAACTGTTTTCAACATTGATAATAATAAGAAATGTTTTTTCAACATCTAATCAGTATATTTCAATGACTTTTGAAGGATCAATTGACACTGAAGACTGGAAGAATGAATGAAGAATGATGCTGAAAATTCAGCTTTGCATCACAGGAATAAATTACATTTTAAAATACATTAAACTAGAAAACAGTTCTTTGAAACTGTAATATAATTTCACAATAAATTTCACTGTATTTTTGATCAAATAAATGCAGCCTTGGTGAGCATAAGACACTTCCGTCAAAAACCATAAAAAAAAAAAAATCTTACAGACCGCAAAATTTTGAGAAGTAGTGTATGGAATTTGGGTGACAATGTATATTTGGGTGATTCTTCAGTTAGTCTTTTGATTTTAATTCTTAGAAAATGATACGTCTTCTATGTGTACTATATGTTTAATTTTTTTTTAGCAAGTATCCTGAAAAACGGATAGGTTTTATCCACTTTTTTTTTGTTAAAGTTGTTAGAAAAAGTGCAAAATACACTTTCTGTGATTTGCAGAACATTTAAAAGTCAAGCTCAAAGCAGAAATGAAGAAAAAGTGATTAAAAAGACTTTATATATATTTATAAAATTATTATAATCTATAATTTAAAACTAGAATGATTATGAAAGAACACATTTATTTTTTGCATAGTCATTTCTAATAGAAGAATCACTCATTTTTAATTCACTTCCTTTTTAAAGTCATAGTACGGACTGGGCTTTTTGTCTTAAAAAAATTGCACTGCAAACTTATCCAAATAAACAAAACTAGTTGTACAGACCTCTTCAGGAGCCTATACATAAAGGAGAGATGGAGTAAAAGGGAGAGAAAAAGACAGGAGGAAAATGACTAACTCCTGTTGAACTTTCCCGCGAGTTCTGCAGCTCAGCCCTCAACACAGTGACTCAGTCCGTACAGCTAGAAATATATACGTCATGCAAAGATTGTGCAACATCTTTGAGAGCATACGATTTCAAACAACAAAAGAACAGCAATTCACATTAGTCTAAAGAGTAACCAGAAAGAGCAGAAGAAAGGGCGAGGGAGATAGAGAGAGAGCAGGAGAGAGACAGTGACTGACCACGGTCTGCTGGTATCTCAGAGCCTTCCTTTGCGATGCATCTGCGGCCATTGAAACACTGTCACTGACCCAAAAATAAACCGCCTGTCTGTCTTAGCATTCCCACCCTGGGGTGGCACGGACTGAGGGAGAGAGGGCACATGCAAGTTCTCTCTCTCGATCTCTCTTTCCTGGCTTTGCACACATCCATCTCTCTATCTCTCACACTTTCTCATGTGGTGCAACACAGCAGTCCAGTTGCCTGACTAAGCCCCATGTGTGTCTGTTTATGTGGACGTGCCTGTGCTTGGGACACATACATGCGTTTATGCATGTGTGTGAGAGGTTGTGAGTTACAAAGAGAGTGTAGATGCCAAACTAAACCCATCTGGCCCTTAATTAGCGGGGCTGGTTTGTTTAATAGTGGCCAATCCTGTCGCCCCTGGCAACAAACTAAGACTCTGATCACCTGTTCATTTGGAAAGGGGCACAGTGAGGGTTTGAGCAGGCGAGGGAACTCCCCGTCCTCCATGAAACATGATGAGGGCAGCACAGGGAGGACCAAATCGGCCAGAGCCATCTCTGATACAGCCTTTTCATCAGTAATGATCAACAGAATGTTAAACAATACACTTAATGACACACGGAGACAGCTTTAGCATTAAATAAACACATTTTGGATAAGAGTGGAAAAAAATAGGACGAGAAGACTGTAATATTTATAGACTTCAAACTATGTCTTCAATTGTGTGATTAGTATGTAACATTTCTTGAAAGATTACAAATTCATATTGTGCGCAATAGTTTTGAAGATATTTTTAAAATATGCTCATAGTATACAATATTCAGCTCTCAAGTATTTATGATATTTTCAAGCACATCCAAGATGTAGACGAGATTGTTTCTTCATCGGAACAAATTTAACATTACATCACTTGCTCACCAAGGGGTCCTCTGCAGTGAATGGGTGCCGTCAGAATGAGACTCCAAACAGCTGATAAAATCATCACAGTAATCCACAAGTAATCCACACCACTCCAGTCTATCAATTACTGTCTTGTGAAGTGAAAAGCTGTGTGATTGTAAGAAACAAATCCAAGGCACTTTAACTTTAAACCATTGCTTCTGTCCAAAATATCCATAACTCCTCCAGTGAAAAAGTCCATCCCCTGTTGTCCTCTCACATCAAAATCCACCAACATATTTGTTTAGAACTGTTTTTGCTTGTAAATGGTGCTTGATCTGTGCATATTTCTCTCCTGATTCATACAAGATGACTTTTTCATTGGATAAAGCAATATTATGGATATAGGACTCGTAATTTAGTTAAATACTTCTTAATGATGGATTTGATTTGTACAAAAAAGGCAGCTTTTCACTTCACAAGACATTATTTCATGGACTGGAGTCGTGTGGATTGTTGTGATGTTTTTATCAGCTGTCTGGACTCTCATTCTGCACGACACCCATGCACTCCTCTTGCATTATTGACTAACTATTTTCCTGTTTGACACTGTAAAGCTGCTTTGACACAACATGTATTGTATAAAGCACTATATAAATAAAGGTGACTTGACTTGACTGCCGAGTGTACCATTGGGGAGCAAATAATGCAATGCTAAATTTCTCCAAATCTGTTCTGATGAAGAAACAAACTCATCTACATTTTGGATGGCCTGAAGGTGAGTAAATTGTAATACAATTTTCTCATTTTAAGATTTATTCACATACAGGTAGAATCTCATGTAAACATTTAATTGAACCTTTCATGACAAACATTTATGTTATCATATTAACATATGACAACTAAGCCAGTCTCATATCATCAACTGTCTGTGGTATAGTGATGCATGGCAGAAACTCATGTGAAGGCGGAGCTTAAAGAAACAGCTATAGGATATGGGTGTGGCAACAAAAATGCAGGTAGATGCCATACATCAAGACAAAGAGCACTTGTAGAAACGAAGAGATGGGACCAAGAAGATAATACTTTGAGAATAAATTACAGCAAAAACACCAGTTTTCAAACAGGGAATAGAAAAAACAGCCTCTGACAAAAGGTGATTACCAGGTTTTGAAAATTAGAAATAGTTCCATCATTCTTCACACACAGAGAAGATGACATGTAAGTTCATTACTATGCTAACAATATACATTTATATGCACATATTATTTTATATTATTATATTATACTGCTATATATATATATATATATATATATATAATAAACATGAAAGTATATAAGTAAACACACACACACACATACATATATATATATATGAAAAATTTAAATACACGTTCACTGGCTAAACTGTAGTTAAATCAAGATTTGATAAATTAAGAAGTTGATATTTACATTATACTGAGCTCACACTGGCTTTTGTGTGTGGTGTGTTTTTAATGTGAAGACAGAAATGCAGAGAAACAGGTTGAGTGACAGTCTGGTAGTCTCATCCACAAACTCAAGATGCCAAAGTCAAACAGAAAGAATGTGCTGACAAAGGATGATCAGTAGTGGGAGTGTTCAAGGCGTGATGTTGTCACAATGTTTTTTGTACTGTACATACATTGATGTTCTGGATAATCTTGATAAATTCAAATAATTTTTTAAAAATCCATTGATCACAAATGTCAATGTTGTGACTACGAGTATAGATCATATGTTCTTTTCATGCCAGTATTTTATATAGAGGCAAAAGCTTCATCATTGTCATGATGATTTTATAACAAATATTTAGCTTCGATAAAATAGGACGGGACTCCACAATTGCTTACATATTTCACTGCTGAATAAAAATCTATCAAAACTAGTTTTATAATTGATACTTAAAAGCACTGTGAAACGTACAAATCATTTACTGACAATACATACACACTAACAAAGTATAACAAATATTCTCTGCAAAACACATGCAGCAAACTACATGGGTAATCAATGTCAAATATTTAAAGTCTGGTTTTATGTCTTTCAAAGAGCTGACAAACTGTAAAACTGTGCACTGCATGATTATGTCAGAGATGTTATCCTTACACTCATAAAACACATAAGCTGATGCATGTGAATAGCACTGCACTTGAATGACTGGATATCAGTTTACATGTAGTGGTTTGAAGTTGGTTGGTAAGTTAATGGTGGTAATATATATATATATATATATATTTCTTTTACAGTATGTCTAATTCAACTAACGCAACATATTTATGTGTACCAGGCACTCTTTGTGGTAAGTAATGTGTTATGTTCAATTTACCGTTCAAAAGTTTGGAGTCAATGAGTTTTTTTTATTTTTTATATTTTTAATAATAAGAAATTGATTTTTTTTATTTACAAAGGACGCATTACATTGAACACAAGTGAAAGTAAATACACTTATAATGTTGCCAAAGGTTTCTATTTAAAATAAACGCAAATTTTACATTCATTAAAGAATCCTGAAAAAATTATTTCTACCAAAATATTAAGCAGCACAACTGTTTTTAACATTGATAATGAAAAATATGTTTCTTTAGCGCCAGATCAGCATATTAGAATTATATTTGAAGCATCATGTACAATATTGCCAGTTATGCACTGCATGTGCACACTCAATTCTCTCAATCTGTTACCAAAACTTGACAGCACATGATACAAATAATTCAGCTTTCTAATCTTATTTTTTTTGCAGAGGTGCTTTTTTTTGAAGTCGAACTGATTGTCATTCCGGTGCTGTTTCTCCTGGCTTTTCTGGTCACGCTGATCATTTTGTTTGTGCTCAAATGCTCCCATAAGCCATCACATCTTTATGGACACCACAGAAATGAAAAAGACGACACACAACACCATCATAACACACACAGGCACCGTAACAGCAACAGACGGCACCTGCAAGGCATTGACGGTAGCTACGGCATCTGACTTTGTTACACACTAAATACTCAAGTTGCTTGTTGTTTGTTGTGTTTATTTAAAGGTCTTCTGGTTCATGCATGATAGAAATGTTTATTTATAATCCTTCCTGACCATGCTTGATTGCTATGTTTATTTAAAGGGTTTCCCTTTATGAATGATCGCAATGTTTATTAATAGATTATCTTGTTCATTAATTATCAAAGTGTTTGTTGAAGGTCATTCTCACAGGTTATACTGAAAGAACATACATAGGATTCTTTTAACATTTTTTTTATCTCTTAATCTTTTGATTTACTTTGCAACAACAGCTCCAGCAGAGCTGAACCCAATGGAACATGAGATTATCCCCATGACAGCCCAACCTCACCATGACATGCCGAATTCAAGCCCTGCAGTACCTCAGCCAACCACCGAGAGGCATCCGGGCCTCTTTCAGCTGGTCTCTCCACTTCCTCTCACCTTCTCAGTAAAACAAGACAACACCATCACCTTGCACAGAGCTGTCATTGACAGACAGCCAGTCGTTTTACGAGTGCTTAAAGGTAAGGTTAGATAAGTGTTATTTTATAATTTTTTATTATTAATATTATTTTGATTTGATTTTAATAATATTAATATGTTATACAATTTATGTATTATACTGTTATATTTAATATTTTGAATTAGATTTTATTTAGATATTTTCAGTTTTAATTTTAATGTTACTTTTTAACCTTTTTTTTAACGTTTTTTTATATTTCTATTTAGCTTTATTTTATTTCAGTTTTAGTAATTTTAGTACTTCTCTCATTGCAGTTAGTTGCCAAAGCAACATTTCTCATTTTTAAGTTTCATCTAATATTTACATTTCACGATTTAAGCTTTATTAACGAATTTTCAATTAACAAAACTTTTTAATAGATTTAGATTTAGTTAACAATAACAACACTGGGTTGGACACATAATCTGACAGACAATAATAAAACAATCCCTGCTCTGTTATGTTTTACTGAAAACACTGTTTGATTATAGAATTGTGGTGTGGGTATTAAGCTGTAGGCAAAATCATTTCTATCAATCTGCAGATATTCTGTCTGATCTTTCCGTCTTTCTTACCTAATGTAGTCAAGTTGATCTTGTATAAACTGAGAATAAAACATTTTACAGAGTATTTTATTATGGATCAGTGGTAGAATTCTGCCTCACCTGTTCTTAAAGCTCAGGGTTTGCAACCAGGAGGTTGCAGGTTTGATTCTCGAAAGGATGAGCTACAAAACCTCACCATTTGTGGCCAGCAAGTTAGATGATAACTAGAACGATAGAATGATAGATAGACAGACAGACAGACAGACAGACAGACTGACTGATCTTACTTTCTTCTACTTTTCCCCCCATACAGAATCAGCCAGTGCCAGAGAGTGCCAGTCTTTTCTGGGGTTTGCCCACTTTTTTTCAGAGTTGGGACCGCATCCATCGCTGCCCAGACTGCTGGGGGTGGTGACTGTGCAGACACCCTTGATGATTGCGGTGGAGGAGCTGGAACATCGAGACCTGCTGAGCTTCCTGTGGAGGTGCAGACAGGTACATGAGTAATACTTCATTTTCAGTCTTGCAAGGGACAGTAATGAAACTCAGGTTCCATTCCTGTGCTGACATATTTCCTTATGAAAGCGGATGTTGTGTCCAGGACATATGAAAAGGGTTTATCCTGTTTTTAGTTTACATCACATCAATTTGCTACTTTGCTAATAAAAGGCAAGTGGGTGAGGAATATTCTCAACCTAGCAATTCATTTTTTTGGACAAAAATGTGAGAAATGTTTCTTGAGCATAAAGGATCATACACTGAAGACTGGAGTATTGATGCTGAAAATTCAGCTTTGCCATCACAGGAATAAACGTGAACTATAAATCTCAAAACTCCAATTCTTCTAGAAAAATATGACACGAGTAGCAATTACTGAAAAATATTGACTCGCAACTCTCACATTGATCAGTTACTGCTGAGGTCACCTGAGAATGGACGACACACAGGTTGTCATTCCTGATGATCTGTAATGTAATGTAATGATTTGTAATGGTTTGATTAAAAGTTAAACTACTAGTTTAAACCTCACCTTTGTTTTGACTGACTGTAAATCTCTTTCACAGGACCACACAGGTCAGGATGCACCGTGTGACATGACTGAAAGACGAATCTTTACCATGGGCACTCAGATTGGATCTGCACTGGTTAGATAACAAATCAGCTTGCTAAATATATACAATCATATTGACAAGTCAGTTCTATCACAAAAGCTTGGCAATAAACGTATATTTATGAATAGAGAGTTTTTATAAGCCACACCATGCATGCACATACTGGCAACTTCATAAATCACCAAGCCTTTTACTTTGTTTGACTCTGGCATGCATTAATCATGGCCAGTCATGAGCACTTAACTGAAGCATTTATGATTTATAATGTACAATAAATACTTTGTCACACCCAAGATCACATTCTCTTTCTTACACAACCTGTTCTGAAATCACAGGAGTATCTGCATAGTAAGAACTACATCCATGGCAATGTCAAAGCTCGAAGCGTCCTGGTTGGTCGGGACCTGTCGGTCAAGCTGTGGGGTTTGGGTCCGGCATATCGCAGAAAAACGAGTGCAGGCTCTATAGAATATGTGGGAGATATGGAAATGAGAAAGTGGCAAGCTCCAGAAGCATTAGCACGGCAACCTCTCCAGCAAAGCAGCGACATGTGAGTTTAATGTAATGACTATTTATATTTTCAGTCAATGTTTTTGTAACCGTTGATCTTCACAATGTATTTATTACCGTTTAATCCTCCATAGATGGTCCTTTGGCATTTTGCTCTATGAGATGGTGACATTAGGTGAGTGTGTCTGTCATCCAGTATTATAAAACTCTCCAGTACAGCTACAGCTGCAAGGTTGTAGTAGGGCTTCATTTGAATGGAAAAATGATAATAATCAAATTATGAAGTTGTTTAAAGCTCTTTATCTCATTGTTTGGAATCTCAGGAGAGCCCCCCTTTCCCAACATCATAGCCAGCGAACTTCTGCAGCATTTACAGAGAGTGAACACAATAAAGAGACCACCCAACTGCTCTAATACACTGTACGTTACTTTACTCACACACATACAGCAAACATGTTTATCTAAAAAAAGCATGCATATATATATATATATATATATATGTTCTAAACTGTAAAACTATTAGTCAACAATGAGTCTATTCTGACCATGTTTTTTTTCTCTAGATACTCTATTATCAAATCCTGCTGTCAGTGGAAACCAATGGATCGAGTCTCATTGGCTGAGCTGATCAGAAAGCTCCAATCAAAAGAGAGAAGCACCAATGATCAGGCAGTGCTGCGAGTGTCTGAGCCGTTCGACATGGAGAAATACATGCGGGAAGCGGGCTATGGAGAATCACTCAACTATGCTGTGCTCTAATGTTCCCTTTATGTGTCAGTCAAGACTCATCAAAAGAGCTTCACACTAGCTATGAATAAATGAACAGTCAAGCTTTGAGATGAGGACTTTAAAATGATTACAGAAAGCCACTGGTTTCAGACAGTGGCATCACTATGGAATTTAAAGAAGAAAACTATTATCTCATCAGGCATGTGCTATCATTCAGGACTTTAGATTAACCCTTGTGCGCTCCTCATTTGGGAGTCACACTCATGGTCTTCGCAGTCAAAAGTGACCGGACACCTGAAATGTAACTTTTTTTCTTCTTCAGTAAAATCAATCTAATATATTTTTGTTCAATAATATTTTTTCTTTTTTCTTTTGTATTTTGAGAGAATTTTATGGTACTAATTAATATTTATGCAATAATTATTATCAATTTTTCCCATTGAAAATAGTACAACATTTTTTTTCTTCTAATTTTTTTAAAATTATTTTTCAATTAATGCAGTATTTCAGATTAAAATAGAGACTAGGCCTTTAAAATCCAATTTTTGAAGGCAGAATAGCACCTCCTGATGATAGCAAAAAAAGAGAAAAACCTGTAATTTCATGGTGTAACCACTAGATTCCTGTATAGGACTCTATAGAGAGGCTTGTGAATTCCCTAGTTGTTTTTATACATAATTGTTTACTTTTATTAGGTTGTGGATTTAAATGTATATTAAGGCATTCTCAAAG